CGAGGCGATATTTTGCCAATTGCTGAATGGGTTGCAGAAGCCCGCAAAGGGTGCGCATGATCAGCATCAGCGGGGTTCGGCGGAGGGGGGGTGCGTGGCCTTGCTCCAGGCTTCTACCTGCGCTGCCCGCCCGTGGGCGCAGCCCCTAGAATATTTCCACAAACCTCGCTGATGCTGAGATGCGTGCCCCAACCGCTCGTTCGCTACCTCCCCCCCCTCCACGATGGAGCCTACCTGTCAAGTAGTACATGTCTTTGTAATGCCGAGTCACTCCAGTCGTTGCTTCCATGAAATCACGGTATTGGTCTGCGAGCATGGCTGCCACAACTCACTGCTACTGACTCTACCCGCACTGAAACTCCCACGTGTTCTGATGTGCTACTATATTGCTGCATGTTTGCAAATACGGCACACTACCAGCTCCAGCATTCCGGCTCTTTGACTGGATGCTGCTTGGAGCTAGGGCTTGAGATGCAGCGGAATCATGGACCTGACTTTGCAAACAGCATCTTCTGCAATTTTTGACAAGTGTGCTCGCACCACAGCGCCGGCCCTGCCGCTTTCTGCATCACTATTGCCCTACTGCGAGTAGACCGCATCTTGTTCCGGGGCTTCCAAGCGGGCCCAAGGCACCGAGGGGAATGCACCGTTGTAGTCGAACGTGACCAAGAGGCGGCCCCGCCCGTCGACCTCGCAGACTTGAAGTCAGCTCTCCTTCTTTCTCCATCCTTCTCGCTTGTTTGCTCGCTTGAACGGCATACGAGTACGGGAAGTCAGGCTCGAGGCCCTCCCCCCGCTTCGTCCGTGTTCGGGGTCGGGTGAGACATGGGCAACCCCGATTCCAGTGCACGATTCAGTAACCCAGAAACGCTCAATGCTTGCTCACGGTCTGGTTGTTGCGGTCTTGGCCGCTGCTGCGGTGGCTGTCCGAGCCTGGTTCCCTTGTAGGTCCTCTTGCCAACACCATCAACATCCGGGCCCATTCCTCCTCCTCGTCCTCTTCCCGCAGCCCCACCAGGTGGGCCACTTCCTTCATTGTTTCGTCCTCCTCCTTTTCCCACCTCTCTCTTTCTTTCGCCAGGACTGTGGGCCGGGGATTTCTCCCCTGCCCACCTTTCTTTCGCCAGGGCTACTCTTGCTTGCTTGCTTGCTTGCTGGGTGTTTGGGGTGCGAGGTTACCCCCACCACCCCTGCGTGCAAGCGCTACGCCTTCGTCCAGTTTCCCTGTAGTCGGCGTCTCTCTCTTTCTTTCGCCAGCGCTACGGACGAGGGTTGCCCCTCGCCCGCGCGCATCAAGCGCCCCCGTATGTTACGGGGTCATTGGTAAGAGTAAAGGCATCGCGACAACAAGGCAACCTGGCCTCAAGAACTCGAAACAAGACAGCTCAGGTACGAGGCGTCTCTCTCTCTCTCTCTCTCTCTTCTTCAGCACAGTCAGAGAGAGCGGGCATGCGCACACACCCCCTCCCGCGTGAGGATCGCGCCCTGCCGTCCTTTGTCTTTATGTCTTTATGTGAAAAAGATGCGATGAGGCCCAAGGTGTTCGCACTCTCTGTCGCTCTCTCTCCATCTCTCTTCCTCTCCATCGCTTGCTTTCTCTGGAGCTAATAGAAAGTGGTTGTCAAAGACCCCACCCCAGTCTCGCCTTCTTTCTGCCGGGCGCAGGGGTCGCTCTCTCTCTTTCTTTCGCCAGGGCTAGGGGCAGGAGATGATACCCCTGCCCGCATCAGCGCCCCCGTTTATTACGAGGCGAGTTGCTTGAACAGTTGCATGCACCACCAAGGCAGACTTCGTCAGTATGTTCTCTCTCTCTCCCTCCCTCTCGCTCTCGACCAGATGGCCCGCACAGGCAGCACTGGCTGTTGACTGATCCGTCGCGCCTGCTGACTTTGCAGCTGCACTCAGCCTCATCCGCCGCACCAAGATTCTGCATGGAATCTGTAACTTTGACTCTGCAAGCTGATCTGAAGGAAAGGCAGCAGCCCAGCATCTGATCGCATGAGGTCACGAGCTCGTCTCTGCAGCCAGGATATTGCCTGACACTGGCGTCGCTCTGGAATGACTAGATCTAGACCAGTCGACAATTGAGAAATCCAGTCCGGCCCGGACTTGGGCTGGATCCGGGAAGCTCTCTGCAGGAGCCTTCTCTCGCAGGGACAGCAGCTCGGCATCATACCTTTGCTACGAATTGAAAGGCCGCTGTGGAGAAATGCTTGCGGTCCTAGTTCGGATCGAAGGTTGCTCTGAGCCTTTGTCGGCACCCTCAGCTGGGCTCCGTACTGGTCAGTGGTCAGTGCCACAGCCTGCTGGAATCCAGCGAAGATAAAAGAGCACACCACTCGTGGGAGCATGTCCGGCATCACGGCCTGCGCTTGTGGCACGAGCCCAGGCCCAGAAGCTTCCTCCTAAGAACTGACGGCTAGGGTAGAATGAGAAGCAAGCACTACCGGCACTAGCATTCACACCAGTCGTCCTCAGCTGCAGCTTTGCTTCTGGCTCCGTAGACCTGCACCGCACCCAAGAGCCCCAGGCTTGCACTACTCCGGCTCCCATGAAACAAGAATCCTCCCCGCACGGCCCGAGGCAAAGCCACACCTCGAGCATCTTATGCCACCCACTGAGGACCTCGAAATTGCTAGACTGCACCACGACACGGCGTTCCACTTCGACCCTTCGGAACTGTCCAGGCGGATCCACGCCGCAGTAAGTCGTCCACAGCCATGCTCGCAAAGGCTTGAGAGCACTGAGCAAGCAAGGCATGCCTGATTTTACATGCAAGCATGGCAGGCCCGCACGAAGGGGAGGACATGCATTGGCAATGGTTTGCTCAGGTCAGCACCTCTCCCACCATATCTTGTTGTACGACACCAGGACATCCCAGGCACGGCCTTTAGGAGACAAACGTTGCAAGCTGGTGCAATAAGAACAGCATCGATCAGATGTAAAGGCCATAACGTCTCGAGTGCGTCTGCCTGAGACAGATGCTGCACGGCTCAAGCACACAATGCCATCGGCACATGTGACACAGGCAGGGACATATAGTTGGCAATGGTCTCAAGTGGAATCTCCAACGCCTTTGTTCAACTGGACGATGCTCTGACCAAGGTCGACCACTTGGCCCCTTGGTGTGCTCGATACAAAGACGTTGAGGCATACGCGAGCTTGCCTCTCTTTGATTCGTGAATCTGGTTCACCTCGGACTAATGGACATTTTCTGCATCAAGCCTGACCCAGAACAAGCCAAGACCGTGGCCAAACGGATGGTGCGGTACCAATGCTTTGCCAGATCCTTGTGGGAACGTGGGTTGAGCAGGGCTAAGATCTGTATCATGAAATGATGCTGGGCTCCATCTCTGCTGGCAACCTTTGTGAAGATTCAACGGACGACTAGCGACTAGAGCAAGAAGGCGGTGCAACCTTGCAAACCGTACCTGCCCAGGACTTTGCCTACTGGACCTGGGTCTTGGAACAGCTTTTGCTGTGGTTGGGTTTAGGTGCCCGGGGTTCAGGATGAAGCGCCAATCTCTGCGCGCGATAGATGGAAAGGGTTGTGCAAGCCGGGTACTGGTCCAAGGCTTGTAGCTCTGTTTCCAGTTTCTCGAGATGCTGCAGTTGCGGTGCACGAGAAGCTGTGAAGTGTCGGAGGTCGACGCGCAACCGGAGAATGGTAGATGCAGGTGTGGCTCGTCGAAGTTTACGTTTGGCTGTTGACAGCGAGAGCTTTTGCCTTCATGGTAGTTCAGCTTCCTTGCCCGGAGGGCGGTTTGGCTTCCAGCATCACCGGGAGAATACTGAAGACGTGTCACAAGAACATAGGGAGGCGGACATTCGTAGCCCGCCGCAGAAACAAAGACTCTTGCATGACTGAGGCTGCTACGAACCGCGGTGCATAGAGCCAGAGTCGCCTTCAGGCAAAAAACGAGCGCGCCTTGAAACTTGCAAACCAAGATCGTCCCCGCAAAGGCTTCGACCCCCCAGTGGCCAAAGTCACGCCGACCTTCAATAACGCATCCACAGTCTACAGTCGACGACCGGGGGATGTGCACCCGGGGCACCGGCTCTAGCAGGAAATCCAGTCTCAAAGGGAGGATTGGCCTAGCAAAGAGTGCCAAGGCGCCCCAGACCAGGGCCAGACTGGACAGCTGGGCCATCAGCTGTCTTCATGTGCGACTCCTCTAACCTCACTCACCCATCCGTCTCCGGCGAAAGCGAGGCTGCACTACGCTTTGCACTTAGGGTGCTGCCGGGCTGTAGAACCCAAAAGGCTCAGCTGCACCTTGTGCGGCTGGCTGTCTAACCTGATCCGGGTCGGAAGAGGCCTCAATTCACCGGCTGACCACGAGCCTCTCGAACACCAGCAGGTCGGCACCTGCTATAGAGCGATGTCTGAGGAATTTCGTATCCAACAAACACATTGGCCGCCTGTGAGCAAGAAGAAACTTCTGGTGTTGCCCTGCAGCCAGCTGCCCTTCCTAAGCCCATGCACAGAGTGGACAAGTAAACTGTCCGAGTCCGCAGGCCCCGGCATCACGATGACATGACGCTCGAGCAGTTCCTGGCCCATCGAAGTCGCGATCACCAGGTTCGGCCGGTTCGGCTCCTGCCTTCCGAACCCCTTCCCAATGGCTTGACACCACTTCTGCCTGCACGGGACATCATGGGACCATGGGTTTTGGCGACAGCCTCTGGCCAGGCGGCCAGGCAAGTCCTGCCTGGATTCCCCCCTGCAGGATCGAAGCGCCTGAGCCAGACGTCAAGAGCTCTTCCCGCTAGTGCTGGTCGGTGAGGCCCTAACGCCGACGACGCAGAGCCTCTCTCTGCGGCGGTCTCCTGCAGAAGGCCACTCCAGAGCCGGCACCCAGTAAACTGCACCAGGCATCCGACTTCTCCACCGGAAGCGAGCGAACCCGCTGAAGCTGGATGTCGACAGCAGCCAAGAGAAGAGCCTGCGGCTTCAAGCTCTCAACCCTTGTCGGCCACACGCAGCCTGTTGAATTTCCTGCATGATTCAATGCTCGTTTCTGATGAATGCATGGCGGCCTGGCACTCGAACCCAGCTACGCATGAAGTTCATCTCAGCTGAGCTCATTTTTCTTCCCTAGCAACCTTCGGCGGGTCTCGCCGCAGGATTTTCTAAGCACAAGGCAGGCGCACAGATCCCATGCCATTCTGCATGTCACTGAAGCCAGCCGGAGCTTGTGTTTGGCCCACAGACCATCCACAAAGAAACGTTAACACGACTCCTCACATCGTTTTTGCAGACGGGAGGCAGAGGCAAAAACTGCGTTCCTTTGGCAGTTGATGGATGTTCTGATGCGAACATGGCGAAGTTATCGGCCGAAAGCCAGTGCCTACTGGCCAGCATGCTTTGCTGCTGCGCAGAAGGCTTTCGTTAACAAACGGGTTCTCACGGATCCTCGGCATGCTGCAACCATCCTTCACTTCGGAACGGACCTTGCCGGTGCAGCACACCATTGGCCAGAGCCACCTTGGCGTAAGGGATGCCATGACCATGAGGGATGGGGCCTGATGATGTTGACGATTGCTTGCAAAACGTACAAGGCAGATGTAATTCGGGTAGGGATCCGTTGCTGCGCTGGCCTTAGGGCAAAGAAGGATCAGAGAGTGCGGCTTTCCTGCTCATTCACATGCTCCCAGACAGCAAGCTTCAGCAAACTGCCAGGCCCTCATCTTGCCCACCCAGCAGCTGCTGACTTGAATGAGGTGTTGCAAGAGCTGGCCTCGGAGTTGCCAATGGCACCCAAGCTCCCCCCAGCACACAGCCTCCTCACCAACAAGGGGCAGTGTCGTTCCTGATACTCCCGCTGCTGTTGCGACTGCTGCGTGAAGAACTCCTTGCAGGAGTCAATATTTCGTGCTATTCAAAGATCAGCCTGAAAAAAATGAAGATCAGCTCGGAAAAGCAGCGCCTGCTGTTGCCTCCGCAGTTCCCGCAGCTCCTGCAGGCTGTGGTGCAGATCTGATCTGCACCCGTAACTGCCCCGTCGAGGTCGACCTGCCTCGACTGCGTCCGACGGGAGTTTCGGAGGTGCCGGCTCCTGTTAGTCGGTCACTCTTTGCGACGCCAGGCGCCGTGGGAAAATGGCAGTCGTCCTTTGGAGCTTCGGCAGGATGAAGCGCCGTGGGTGGCTTTGCATCCTGCACACGCTGCGACCCTTAATGCCTTCACGTTAGAGTCCATGTTGCTTGTTCCTCTTGATGCTGGCCTCTTTTCGGGTGTCGGTGCGATTTGGTGTATTCATTCGCTCAAAGGTGGTACCATCCAAAACAACAGGCTCTGTGAGCTTCTTAAGGTCTCCATATAGTGGAAGCGCAGAGACTCCACCAACACTGAGAGCAGAGTGCATCAACGGCCATATGCACACATCGTCCGGTAGCCTCCGTCTTCAGGTGCGCCACCAAGTCCAGCTCATTTGTGCTCGGCACAAGAGGGGGTCGCCCTGCCAGCTCTAAAGCAGTTTACAGTAGGGTCTCGCCCCCAATGGTGATATCCAGCCTGACTTCTCCTTGAAGGAGTCATCTACACAGCACGTGCGGCCTTTGCTGATCTGAGACGTCTTACATTGATGCGACTGCGTTGCAGCCCTCCAAGCTGCTGCAGAGCCGCTGTCGTTCTGCGGATGCGTCAGTGAGCCTCTGGTCGACTCGCACACATCGAAGGAACCCCGAAAGAGCAGTTACTTCTATTGAGGAAGCGATCTTCACCGAGTGGCGATAATCCACCAGCGCATCCTCGTTCATGTGCGGCACCCGCCAGGACAGGGGGTCCAGCTGAGCCTCAGCTTAGCAGCTCCTTCAGGGCTGCATTTATATAAGGCGCTGCTTGACAAACCCCCAGAAGCACGAGGTTGCGAAGCTGATGCGACCTGTGTCGAAATCTAGATATGCGGTCCGTATCCACAATGCCCAGGGAAGGCTGCGAGATTGTTGGCTTGACTACTTGTTCACTACTACCATGTCAAGCCTAGGCCGTCTGTGAGAGCAAGGACTTCCAGGCTCGCGAAGGTGAGGGTCTTTCGGCTGTGACGACAGTGTTCTACGAGACTCTAGCACATGCACATGCCACACCTGGTCGACACAGTTATGCCATGCCCAGAAAAAGTATCCGAGATTGCGAAGCCCTGGTTTCCACTTCACTGCGTGGAATGGGCAGGTTTTGATGGCTTCAGGGGTAGGGCTTTGCGATAAAGGAGCCAGCAGCAATGCGTTGTAGTCATCCATCATTTCCTGGAGGTTGCTTCTCGTCCGTGATGCACAGCCCCCTCTACTTGTCAATCCCTATTTTAAATAAACGCTACACAGAGACGCGTGACATGCATGCCGCCCTTTGCAGAACAGCTGCAAAACACGGGAGGTCATTCTGATCAGGACCTGAGTCACAGGATTCCGTCCCACGAGCAGCACAAGCCCAGTCCCGCGCATACTCCGGGCTGGGGCTGTGTACGCTTCTGTGCCAACCAATTCCAACCGCTTCAGGAGGCCATGCTCAGAGTTGGACCCGATCTGCTTTATGTTGCGGTTAGACTGCAGCATGGTGCAGCCAAGGCTCCAAACGGAGCCTCAATCTCGGCAGCAATGCAATCCAGGCCCACCATTGAGCATCCCGTCAACAAAGTGAAGCCGGCGATAATCCAGGGACTGGTGTCCCTGAGATCGAGCACTCAACGATGCTGACGACGAGCACTACGACGCATGCTGCAAAGCTACAAGCAGGGTTTCTCCAAAGGCATCACAGTGGCCAGGTGCAAATAACCAGAGGAGAAACAAAGAGGAAGATCCAAATCAGGAAGGTGTTCAGCTGCGCCTCTCAAGGACTGCAAACCAGCCCGAGCACGCCAGAACCTGCGACTACGATTGCCCCAAACCCGAAACGTAAGCCAGGCACATATGGAAAGGGAAACGGCCAAATGACCACTTGTTGTGCTTTGTGGTATTCCACCAAGCCTGAGCTAGCTGGACTAAGAAGTGGGAACCTGCACAAGCCGCGTCGGTTTCGGCCAGGCGGCCCATGCTGAGCTCGTGGAAGACGCGGGTTAGTATGGGTGGAGGTACCGCGATGATGCCTGCCACCACTGCCGTTGCGAGGAGTCAAACATTGAACTTCGCGGAGCGAAAAGGATGGCCTGTAGCCTGTGATTGAACGATGTGCTTCTTCAGCCAGCAGAGCACAGTCGTGGTCTTAATGGCATGGCCTGTTCCACATGATGGCAAAGCCCCTGCCTTTCACAAGAGTGTTGTTCCTCCGAGTGCCGGACCCAGTCGGTTGGAATTGGCGGATGTGTCATTTCCGTGAATGCCTCAGGCCAAGTAGATGCGCACGACGTGGGGGAATGGAAGCTGCAAAATGTAATCCTGAAAAGATTATCGCATGGTGCTTCCTTTACAACGCTCCCTCACGACTGAGCACAATGCTTTCCAAACTGTCCTGAGCCCAGGGGTACGCAACTGTTGACATGGGCATTGAGCCCGACGAAGGTTCACCGAGCGGCCCTGTCTAGCCCCAGACAGTCAATCACACGAAAGTTCTCGTGCTTCAGCTCTGCAATCTCCTCCATGGCCATCCTGAGCCGAAAAGCTATGGACCTCCTCTCGGCCCAGCGCCAGAAATCCGTGCTTTAAGGCTTTGCTTGCGAAGCACGCATGCAGGACACTGAAGAGCCGTACCGTCAGGTGCATGTAGCGCTGAATCTCCTGGTAGGAGCGCACTGGGCTACTGACCACTGCACAGGAGCGCACACTGCCGCATCCTCGGGACGAGCTTTCGAGCAGCTGCAAAATGCCAGTAGGCTAGCGCAGGAATCCGACCACTCGGAACCCATCCTCGTTTTCAGAAGTTTTGCTAACCAAACCCGGTGATGATACATGAGAGAAGTTCATACCATGCAGTGCACTTGGACTGCCACGGGCCCATGCACCCCTAAGCACCAAGGTTCTCATGAACTGCCGTCGCAGCCGCCCAGTACCGAGTGTAGGACTGGGATGTCCGGAAGACCAATGTGAACCCTTGGCCAAGGCGATCCTACTGGACTGATCCTCTAAATGCACGTACCACTGAATCAAGCAAGCAGCCCAGGACGAAGGTGAAACCACCATAAATCTCTCCGGTGTTGAGAAAGTCTAGGACCTTCAAGTCGATCACGCCCCAAAGCTCTAAGTACTTGATCATCAATGCGACGAGTGCCCATGGAAGCGATATCCTGCAGACCACTTCAAGCAAGGTCGTCATGATTCGTCATGTCACCAGAGAACTGGTGGGTACTTGATACTGCTACGGTAATTCTCCTGATAGACACTGGCAGCACGCTGCCACGCACCCCGAACATAGAAGACCATTTGTTGGGATTGTAGTGGATCATTCCTGCGAGCAAAATCACGGCACCCACGCCCTCCACCTGCTTCAAGGAAAAGGCAGCCTGGCCTGGCCTCTCTCTCTTCTGAAGTATCACATTCAGGGAAGATGGCCGGCCGACAGGCTTGCTAGGAGCCACGCAGCTGCATGAACACGCTTTCTGAAGGAAGCTGGCTTTCAGGTTGGGAGCACGGTGAGTACAGGAACTACATGACAAGCTTTGGGCTGACCGGGTTGCAGTGACCAGAGAGGAGGCCTGCTTTAGGCGCTTTCGGTACAAGGTCTTGCTGATGCCAGCCTCAGAGTAGCGGAAAACACCGTGCAAGCAACGACCAACTCCACCGATTTGAGTCTCGTGCCAGCCACCCCGACGATATCTTCGCTTCTCCTCCACCAGCGTCCTGACGTTTCCGTGCTACTTCTTGGAGACACAGGCACACATTACATACACAGAGTGCATGATTCACATGCACTCGGCAGTCCCTGCTGAATTGAAGCTTCGCGGGCAGACGCCGTGCACCTCGCGTGGCATGCGATCTGAGCTGCGCCCGGGTGCTGATCATCTCGCCCTCAACACTGCATGGGCCTTGCTCCACCATCAGCAGCCGTAAAGGCCGCAAATTCTTGGCAGGAACTGCAATGATGCCATGCTACTTAGTTTCGGGAGAAAGGAAGTACTGCTGAGTCGGGCTTAGTTGCTCACAAAGCAAAGATCCAGCCAGCTATCCGCAGTCAGCTGACAATATTCGGGTGCAAGTACGATAGCAATCTGGTACAAGTACGATAGGGGGTCTAGGAATCGCGTTGGCAGTGCGCGCCCAATGAGTGGGCAGAACTGTCTTCGGCATAGGGCAGTCCATGCATGTGCGCTGCGGATGCTAACGGTGCTAGCCGCAGGTTGCGGCGTGTGCAACGACTCACACCAGAATCTGTGAGGCAACTACCTGCCTAGCAAAGAGCTGCTGCGAAAGCAGCGCAATGCAGATGCAATCCGCTCAAGATTCTGTGAAGCCAGTTCTCCTTTTCTGACGACTCTTCGCAGAACGTGTTCCAGCGGCGGACGACTAGCGGGAAAACCGTTAGCCCCTGGACGTACATGACGAGCTCAGCCCAACAAGTTTTAACAGCTTGACGACATTCAGCTTGCCAGTCTATCATCAAAGAGCTTGTGACTCTTGCCTTTCCTAGGCCGCTTCCAGTGACACGGAACTACTTCATCGCTGCAGCCAGGCGATGTACGCGTTCCTCCTGCAATGGTCAGGGCAGAATCAGACGTCTGGTTGCGTGCTGAATCAGGAATGGCATGCAAGCACAGGACTCTAGGCGACGGGCTTGCGGTGGTACCTCTTGACGGCCTGCAGCTGGGTTGTTGAGTCCCTAAAGCCTAAACTCCCAAGCCCGGGAACATAGCGGTCGGCGGCTGGGTATGCCTCTTCAGCGTTTTCGAAGCATCGCTCGGGAAAGCTCAACATCCACCCGACCTGTCAGATGCAGGGTTCTTTCCAATGTTAAGTTCTGGGATGAAACTTTCTCCACGCTGCATTGTATCTTGGAGTCTTGAAGACAAGACACGTGAAAGTCGTCTTCGAACTCCTTTGTGGACAAAGTGATGCGACCGTTCTCCTTGTCGGCATGAACCTTCGCAACCGACTTGGACTCAGTCTGCATACATACTGTCATGGCATACAAGGAACCGACGCAACCTTAGCAAATTGCTGCGGGCACGGCTGTAGCCGACTACCGCTTGCAAGGATGCCGTGAGTCAGAGCGATGCGCAGTAGTGACCCTTGTCGGCTTGGGCCGCTGCCACGTAGCATTTCATCTTCGTGCCAGTTGGGAACATCTTGTCAACCCACTTGTGTGCAGATTTCTGGCGGGTGCAGCGAAATTGAACTGGCTCTAATGTTGGCCACCACACGCTAATGACAACCCGGCCTTGCGAGAGATGTCCCGCATGTCCAGCATGCCCTTCGGCTTGTCTGGACCATCAAGTGTCATGACCTGACAGCGAGCAGTGTTTGCACTGCCATCGCATGCTTCTTACAAGAAAGCTGGAGATGCCAGGGTCTCCACGAGCCCTTTGGGGCAGTGCTTGAAGACAACCTGGGTGCACGGACAACTGTTGACAATAACCTGAATTAAGACTTACGAAACTGAGGGCTCAGGCGGCATCGATGATCATTCCAGCCTGCATCCAGAGTGGGTCCTGCCTTCTCTGTTGGGGTGCGGGCGAGCCTCCAGTTCCTGAGCTTTGGCTATGGACCTCTGCTGCTCCAACCTGAGCTGACAGGTCTAGTCTAGGAGGCTGTCCCCAAAGACTGCAGACGCGCAAAGCACGCACCACGTCCACAAAAATCGGGACGGCGGGGAGCATGGGCAGGACCACAAGGGGTGGAGATAAGTGGGGGGCGGGCGGCAGGCCGAACCCTCGGGCGCTATAGGGGCAACGGAAGTGAGTCACGGGTCAGGCGAGGAGAGATAATCACCCATATACAAACATGGAAAGCGAAAAGCGGACACACAAAGGCACAAACCAAACTCCAGGGCTGAAATCAGGCAGGACACCACATGTAGTGGGAGAAGATGGGCTGTGCCTGCCAGCAATCGATAGCCGGCTTAAGGCTATATAGTCCCACAGATTCACCACTTATGCTTTTGGGCGGTCTTGTCAACACTGCCGCCTTTCTGGAGCGCCGATAGAGGTTCGGCCACGGGCTGTACTTCTGCCTCAGGACACGAAAGCTCTCGAGCCAAGAGCTGCCAACTTGGGGTTTTCGAGAGGCTGGGAGTTCTGGAGACTACTTCGACCGACGACGCAAGGCCCGGACTCTTTGTTGACGCGCTGCATCGGGGCTGCCAGACACTCTACCTTGCGAGGCTAGCGGCTAGCGCGAGCAAGCCGAGCACGCTGAGGCGAAACCCTGCTGCCTTCAACTCGTCTCCCACGTTGGGCCGGTCGTCAGGGCTTGCCTGGCCCTCCTCGCCTGGCTTCACTAGAGTGCAGGGCCACACTCTCACGTCGCGCAACCTGGGTCCGGCCTCTGGGCATGAAACCAATCAGACCGGAGTTGAGCATCTCAACCTTGCAGCCTGGCAGATCAGTTGGAGATAGCGATCTACTACAGCTTTAAAGTGTAGAACCGAACCGTTGGGCCAATGTCAACACCGTAAACTGGTGTAGACACTCTGACACCGTATCTACGATCTTGGCGGGCTCTGTGTGAGAATATCTGAAGCCATCGAGTGCACTTGGCTGAGCCTCGCGCGCGAATAAGTTGTGTTTGCGAAATCAACCCGTGTGGCCGGTTGGTAGCCATATTCAGCACACGCTGAGGATGATGGTGACAATAAGACGGTGATGATTGTGCTGAAGATAGATACCAATGTCGACGATGATGACGGTGATGCTGGCAGGCCCATGACAGTGAGAATCACAATGCCAGTGGTCGTGCTTTATGATTAATCTTAATCACATAATGACATCACAGTAACATGAAAGACTGATGACAAGAGGAACAGACCTGGGAGCTGTGAAATGAACAGTAGCTGGGCCGGCCTTTCTCATCAACATGCAGAACTCGCACATCCCAAAAGATCTTCTCGCCTGCATCGTCCAGAGTTGAACTCGCTTGGCAGCACATGCCATCATTGGCATTTCGGACCCGATAGTTGGGTTGATAGGATGACCATCAAGCTTTCAAAACATGTCCAAATGCCGGAGCTTCTGTGGGCTGCAGTCCACCCAGAACCTGGCCTTTTTTCCGTGCCTCAATCATGCTGCGTCTCAGCACCTGTCGGGCGGCACTTGGCCAGTCGCAGTTTTCACACTTCGGGGTCGCCCACGGCTCTCCAACTGACTTTTGTGGTCATGCCATGCCTGGAATCCAAAGCGGTAGTCTCGCTGCCAGACAGGCAGGGTTGTCGGGTCCCTGGTTTCCTCAATGTACCTTGGGCAGGGTTTGGATTCGCGCAGAGAGAGAGAGAGAGAGAGAGAGAGAGAGAGAGAGAGAGGGGGAGAGGGAGAGAGAGAGAGAGAGAGAGAGAGA